CCAGTAGAATATTTTCTACTGAGACTACTCCCCAACCTAAGTGCATATGCAATGTTCATATACAATAATCATTCCAACCAATATTTATGCAAATCAATGTTGGAATCAACATGTCATACCATGATATGAGATGAGACCCACTCATGTAATTTAACCCCGAGCCTTCACCGACTCCCACTACACAATGCAATGCGCATGTGTAATGAATCCGTCAATTGACGAAAAATGCATCCAATGATTGTTTAAAATAAAAGTGATGCATTTGTAAAACCAAATCATTGTGGATGCTACCCATTAAATGGATAATTTTATAAAAAAAAACTCTTGTGTCTTTGTTGGTTAATGGATTTTGGAATCTCACCGCCGACTCCGTACGCCTTTCTACATTTTTTGGACTTGCACCGACAGAGTGTATGAACCAGTAGCTGGACCTTGCACCCGAGGACGTGTCTAGTCTTTCTTACTATACCCGACACAAGTTTTCTTTTTCATGCATCCGTGGAACTCTGTTGAACCGAGGTCCAATGGTACCGAGCCCACTTGTCATCTACCGAGGATGGTGTTTGACCCAAACCATTCACTCACACCCATGAAATGCGATGTCTACGTGCACATGCAATGTAATATATCATTGCTATTACAACATCATGCTCACATGTAATGCATGTCATATGAGCAATTTTAAACCACATGTCTACATGTTCCATGAAGATTCATATCATATGCATATAAATTCCATAAATCATCACAATGTCAATGGCAAACACATTCAAGGCAACAATTCATGTTATCACATAAGAATTTTCACCTCATTCACAAAGCATAATATAAGACATATAGCATGCCCACATAACACCCATTTTCCATAGATTTACACAATAATTGTAACCCACCAATTCCAATCTAGGAATTTTACTTAATTTGGGTCAAATTCACATACCCAATTCACCAATCACCCAATTCCATCAATTTCACAACCATAGACAAGTGATATATATAGCTATCCATCTACCCATTACATATAACTTCCTAGGTTCTAAAATAAACCTAAGTAAGAAGGAACCCTACCTCTTGAAACGTAAACCCACTTGGTAGAAGCCGTAAATATTCCAATTCTCACCCCAAGCTCTTGATTTCACCAAGCTTGGTTTTGAAACTTTGGTGAAATCCCTCGTTTTTAGTGTGGTCTTTTAGCCCTCGACAAGGAGATCGACTTTTGTTCTTGCCCCGAGTGGATTTGAGCACCGTAGCCTTGTAGATCGTAGAGAGAAGGTAGAGTTTTTTCTCACTTTCCCTCTCTTCCTCTCAACGTTAATGGCCGGTTGAAGAAAATGGGCCAAAAAGTCAAATTTTCCCCTATTTATAGTCTTAGAATACTTGGCCCACAACGCGCCACACGTCCCTTTTTTTTTCGAGTCCGTTTTCATCCTGAAACGATTAAATTTCGTCCCGGCTCAAGTTCAAATTAATTTTATTTTAATTTTAATTTAATTATTTCCCAAATTTTAAATTTTTTATTGAAAATTCCGTTTTTGGGTCATCCGAGACTCGACCGCCTTGTAAAACGTAAAAAATTCGACTATCTCGGAATTCGATGAAATTTGACGTGGTAACTAGATTTTGCGAGACGAACCCAATGGTGAGGTTCATTTTGTCATCCGAGATCTAAAAAAATTCAGGTTTTTAACCCGTACTGTAGCGACAAAATTACTGTTTTACCCTTGTTTACAAAAGTTTAAATTTACCGGGTTTTACATATATTCACTAGAAAATTTCACGAGACAAAACTCGTTCACTAAGAGTAAACTAAGGGATTAACGGTTTGTTGTATGGGATAAATGTAATCATGAATCCAACGAAAGTAATTGTATGTTTTATTATTACTAGGGACTAGTAATATTTAGGTTGAGGGTTTGATTAACCTGTAAAAGTAACATTTTCATATGCATTAAAAAGGTTAATTGATTGCATTTCATGATTAGTTGGTTGTAAATTGAATGATTTAATTAGTATAAGGTAGATTTAGGCACTAACTTGAATTGCGCGATAAAAATACAATTTGGCAAAGTTTAGGGGCTAAAAAGGAATTAGAAAGGTGGATTGGAACGAAGAAAAGGAAAAATTCTAGCAAGAAGAAGGCGTTCAAACGCCAGCCACCACCGTTTGGATGTCCATCACCGCCATAAGATTTCAAGAAAAAAGACCATAAAGTAAGGAAGTTGATAGAGACAAGCGTCTGAACGCCAGCCGCCACCATTCGAACACCCTTCCCAAACACAGATTTCAGTAGGTTTGCAAAACAGATAAATAGAGGAGTCTGAACATCTGCCACCATTTTCCGGACCCCACGTTGAAAGTTGGAAACTATTTTCACACTTTAAGCTCTGAATTTTGAATTATTTTTGCCACCCATCTTCCTTTATAAATAACCCCTAGGTTTTAGTAGGAAATCACTTTTTGGAGATTCATTCTCTCTTCCATTTCTCTTAAAGCCTTGTAATGTTCATAGTGTTTGTAATTTTTAGCTTCTTCATTTCTTAAGCTACTTTCTTTATTTAGAAGGATGAACTTCACTCACCTTTCTAGCTTTCTTTAAGCTTTGAAGGGTGAGTTGTATTTCATTTGATCTTTAGTAAAGAAAAGAGTCTTGCATTTATTTATGGTAATGCCAATCTTTTTCATTTGGATGGATAAACTTCACTCACCTTTTTAGCTCCCTTTGAGCACTGAAGGGTGAGTTATATTTCATTCACTCTTTATTGAAGAAAGGTCTTGTGTTTATCTTTTATAATCTTGAGTTCTCTTTACTTACAGGATGAGGTTCTCTCACTTCTAGCCTATTAATAGCCATGAAGGGTGAGTAGTTTTTCATCCATTCTTTAGTGAATGAGGATGGATTTATGTTGAAGGGTTTGGATAATATATTTATACAATTTTTATTATGCTTACTAGTCTAATCTAACTTATGAATGGTTGAATAAATCTAGCATGCTAACATACTTTGTATAATTATTTAATTATCTATGGACAAGTTGAGTCTTGTTATGGGTGATGCTTATAATTCCCTACAAGTATTTAAGCTAGATCTTCATGACTATCCTTCAATCTTCACCTATAAGGTGCTTAACTATATGTTTGATTAACTTACTCAACTAGATGTTTTGTTTTAGTTGTTTGATTGATTATAGATAGGTGAAGTTCTGACATCTTCAATGTTTATAATTGTGGGTATAATGTCGGAGCTAAGTTCTTTAATTTAGAATCAATCATAATCTTCCGGTTAGCTTGTTGTTGACATGAGTTAACTGAGTTTTCTTGTTGCACAAATATTTCATTCAACACTCACACATATTTCCAGATCCCCTGACTAAAGAGTGACTTTTCTTTATTGTCAAAGACTTTACGTTTTCCTTTGTACACAACTCTTCACAACACAATCACTCATTCTTTCAGCTTTCTTGTGTCTTTGTCTCTTTTGATCTTTTATTTAAGATACCTCCATTAGTTCCATTGATCCATTAGTTTCCTTTGTACACAACTCTTCACAACACAATCACTCATTCTTTCAGCTTCCTTTTGTCTTTGTCTCTATTGATCTTTTATTTAAGATACCTCCGTTAGTTTCCTAAGGATTCGATCTCGGACTAACTGAGTTATAACTACAACTCGACTGCTTATACTTAGGCGTGCACATCTTTAGTTGAGTCATAAGGCAATATCACATATGCCATTAAGGCAATCTCATACGCCACTAATGCAATACTTTAATTACCACTAAGGCTATATTTCATTTGCCACAAAGGCTATAAACACAACCACCATACCATCATAAGCCAACATCTTTTTATTCATATTTGAATAGTAGATGACATTCACATGATAATACAAGATATGTGAATTAATACACTCACCTTGATTTGCATTCTACCTCAGGTTTTCTCTCTTGTGGGTGGCTTTAGGTGGAATGATGATGATGTAGACGCCTCCGTGTCTAACACATGTGTTGTTACAAATGCATCTTATATTCCACAAGCAAAGATTATATTCTAAGTGTTCATATGTGAATACCCTCTCATGCTTGAGTTGAGACGTTGTTAATTTCCTACCATAATATTAACTCCCCATGTTAGATTTAAGTTAAACATATTAATCATGTGGTTATAGACAAGCTAATCCATTTGAAATTGTTTTTAACTCAATAGGATATTTTGGAAGGCTTGAGTAATGGATGGACAAAGAATTAGAGACAAAAATAGGAAATTAGCCTTGAGTAAGGGCCAAGTAGTCAGTCAAGTGAATGCAGCTGCAGGACAGACTAGCGGAGGGACACAAGAAACAATCACTTATCTAAATGGAGCTGTAGGATAGAGCATTGGACAAAGCAGTGGAGGAATAGGGCAAACAAGGGGCTCTCTAGATAGGCTGCAGGACAGAGTAGTGGAGGGACTCAACAAATGGATGCATCTGTGAGTGGGGCACCAGGACAAACAAGCATTACTCAATGACCACGTAGAAACAAGTTACTAGTATGTTAACTGCTCCCAAAGCTTAATTTTATAATTGAACTTTGATTAATTGATTGCGATTCACTTACCCAATTGATTACATGCAGATTAAAAGAAACACCAAGGGCCAAGGGAGACCATTTATTGCACCAAGGCCATCAGCTGCATGCTACTGGAATGCCACAATCCAGCTAGCCACCAGTGTGACCAGTCCACCAGGAAGATGATGATTTTTGGATAAGTGGCGAATCTTTTGGATCAATGATTAATCTTTTAGATTAGTGATGAATTTTTGTGGATCAATGATGAAGTTTTTCGATGCTTTTGCAATCTTTGGTTGTACGTTACGTTTGGATGAAAGTTGTAACTACAATACTTTAACTTTTGTTTGGTTGAATGAAGTAATGTTATTTAAACTCAACCTTTGTTATACGAAAATATGTGACTACAATTTGTAATTCATCGCTTTCATTCAAACTAAACCCATAATCATATTCATGCCAATTCCAGGTAAGTGATTGCACAATTATTAACATTAACAGGTGAAAATTCACCCCAAAATGAGTACAGATAATTAGGTAATGACAATTGCAGGTAAGTACCACCACCCTTATCCAGCTCCTCCTCTCCATTTGAATACAACATTAGATTATTCAATTTTCTAAGCAATCTCGGAATCACTTGTCGTGAGTGCACACACATTGGTGGGTCTTGCCACATGAAGAAACCATACCCAGCATTCTACAGAAAATGGAGCATTCAAATTATTGTGAAGTTATAGACAGTGTAAGAAAAATACTAATGAGATAAAATATGAACCAACCATGCTATTTGGACATGTCAAGAACCTCTGACCTGGGTTTTGATCCGTCCATGATGTCTTTTTTGCTACAATCTTCCCACAGTTACAATACACCATGCTTTGTAGCTCTTTGTTTTCCCTTTCTTCTCGGTCAATTGAGTCCTTAATTGATGCTCTGTTTTTTCTTTATAGGCCACTGGAGTAGCAGACTCTTAAAATTAATGGGCACATGCCAAGCAAGTGAAGCATTGGGAGGGAATTATGGTGCCAAATACTTTCTTTTCTTTCTAACTGCCCCTACATTTGTCACTTGCACAGCACGTTCAACAACGAAAAGGTGATAGACTAGACGGTTCTTCACATGAGGTCCACATGACTACAGACTAGGTAGTTGGAGGGCTTAATTGATGCAAAATTGAGTTTAAGGGCTGAATTGACGTAAAAACCTCAGAGACTACATGTGTAATTTACTCTCTATATTTTATCTCTTTAGCATTTTTGAACCGACTTGCAGAGAGTGAACCAAAGGTGTAATTTACGCCCTATGGTGGCCCATTCCCATCATTTAAATCTTTTTTTCAACTCCAATTTAATCATCTAAACTAAAACTACTAACTTCATTTTATCTATATTTTTTCCATTAATTAATAAACTCACTCTGTTTATATTTATTAATTAGAAATTAAATTCATTCAATTTTATTTTAACCTACTAAATAGGTAACGGTTAAAATTTTGCTTTGGTAAGAAAATATTTCAAAAGTAATATAAAAATTAATAATTGTTTTTAAAATATTAGTCAAATCATGTTAAAATATCATCAAACACCTCAAAATATTTAAAAAATATTGATAAAAATATCTCAAAACACCTCGAAATAATATGGATCACCTTAAAACATTAAAATTTCGGTGCAATTACTATTTTTGTTTCAACTTTTTTGATATATATTTAATAATTTAATAGAATGAATATAAATGTGGTAAAATTTAAGATGCGTATAAATGGAGTACCTTAATAATTTGAAATAAAATAGGGTTAATTGCACTGTAGGTCCTCAAAGTATGGAGTTTGTCTTATTTTGGTCCTCAATGTTTCAATTGCATTATTTTTGTCCTTGAAGTATTAAACATGCTTCTATATGGTCCCTCAATCATACAACATCTAGATTGTTAACTAATTTTTATCATAAACTTGTCACGTAATATTTAAATATGGACAAAAAATAAATTTGATAAATATTAAACAAAATATGGGCAGCTCTTAACAAAAAAATGTATAATATGGGTAGCTTTAAACTAAAATTTGGATAGTTCATGATCAAAATTGTGTAATTTGAGTAGCTATTTAACCAAAATTTAAGTAAAAATTTAATCAAGAGTTATCCAAATTATTTTTTTATCTATTTTTAAGAATCACATGACAAGTTTATGATAAAAAAATATTAGCAATCTGGACGTTGTCTGTTTGAAGGACCATATAGAAACATTTATATAATAAAGTAGAGCTAAGTTTGAATTTTAGAGACAAAAAGAGGTCCAGATCGTTTTGAGACAAAATATAAACACATCCAACGGACAACATAATCCAAACATAAAAGACGATTCAGATCATCTCAAAAAATTTGATCTAACGATCTACAGTTGGTCCTAAAATTCTTTTCCTATCATTGAAGAAGCCTATCATCGTAAGACTTTACATTTTTATCTCTCATACGTCTTTATCTCTCTCATACAGATTCTTTCTCCTCAACCCATATTTAGCAATTCAAATATTGCTTCTCATCACAGGACTCTACGGTTTACACTCTTTTTATCCCTCATACGTTTGTTATCTCTCTTAGCATTTATCTTTTTTCTTAGTGTTTCTATCTCCTGATATCTCTCTTCTCTCTTATCCTAGTTTCCCTTCTCCATCGTAAGTGCTGATTCTCTTTCCTCTTCCCATCTCTCTTCTCTTTTGTTTTCCATCTCTTATAGTCATTGTCGGCGCCACCAATGGCAACTTGAACAAAACAACCACTGCTAACGCACACCACCCAAATTCGTCGACACAGCAACACCGATGCCATCACTGTTGATATCCCTTTTCTCTCCAAGTATCATCTCTCTCTCTCTCTATTGCAATTTTTATTTTAATTCCCCAAAATTGCGTCTATACCTTCGCAGAAATTTATATTTCCTAAATTAACGCCTCTCTATCTCCCCCAAATCTTCCAATTCTCGCCTTACCTGTAATCACCTCTCCCATATCTGCCTCCTCTCTCCCTACATGTCTAGCAAAAATTTATCTTTGCACTGCCCTTTCTATTCCTTCGTCTGACGCCTCTGTTCCTCTTCGCCGCTACTCCTACACCACCAACCAGGTATATATTTGTTTTTTCTCTCAGATTGTAAACGAGGAAAGTAAAGCTAAAGATCTGCAGTTCAAAACAATCCCTCTGGTCTATGGGGGCAGAACTTGAGTTTGATTGGTGATTTAAAAAGATTGATACAGTTGGAGTTTTGTGATGGAGAATGTGGTATGTGCTAGATTTTAATTTTAATTTAATAGTGCATGTTTCTTTGCAAATTTCATTTCATTGGTTGGAAATTTGTTTGAGATGGTTTCAGAAATAGCCGATGATTCTATTCATCTATTTATTTATTGATCACACTGGTAAGTTTCTTAAATTTTGTTCTTTATTTGTTTTAGGGCAAAAAAAAAAAAAAATCTTACCTTTTTCCTTTGTTGTTTTAATGGTTATGGTGTTCAGACCTCTCTAGCAAACAACTATTTTTGTGGGGTCAAAAATAGTCTAGTGAGGGAGTGTGTGTAACAACAACCACATCAATGCTATATCTCACTCCCACCCGTTAGAGACGTTCCCAGACCGCAGATATTGCCAATTAAATTCCGTTACTCCAGTTCACCCTACAACAATTTTATTAAGTAAAACCATTTTGTTAGTGCACAACATCCAAAATCCTTAACACCATCTGATTTTTATGTTATACTTAAAATTAAATCTTTGATCAATAGGTTTAATTTTTTATTGGATATTTAATATTACTGTATAAGTTTGTAGTTTCATTGTGTCATTTTTTGTTTGAGGTGTGTGCGACATCCAAATACTTTCTATCGTATGTGTGTTTATTTTTAGATGATAGTTTTTATTGAGTCCTTGCATTTTTTGGGTACTTATTTCTATGCGTAAGCACATGTCAATGCTTTGTTAGTAGTTGATATTTATGTCATTTTTTAATTTAGTAATTTTTATAGATGTAAATTGTAGATGAATGAATAATTTGTATTAAAAATAGGGATTTATTTGAGTTTGATATAATAAAGTTATTTAGACATGTTAAACATGTCGTTTTTATCATGTTGATGGTGTTATAGGAGTCGTCACAACCCAATCATGAACCATGTACCAAACATATTGATCAAGTTGATAGCGAGTCATGTCAACATTGATACAATTTATTTAGTAAATGTGTTACCCGAATCATGCTCTAACTATTGGTGTTTTAAACGAATTGTATTTGTATTAAGTCATTTTGACATGATTAAGTAAATAGTTCATGTTAGGGTTGAGATATTTTTGACATGAAACTAAAATAACACAATATGATTTGATTGCCATCCTTACTTTAGGCATTGTGGGTGTTTAATTTTTTGAAATGAATTTTCAGTTTTCTTAATAATTTTTTTATGTAGTGCCTTTATACACGGATAATTTCTAGTATTCAATATTTTAGAAACAAAAATGATGCAATTAAAATTTTGGGGACTAAAATAAGACAAACCTCAAGGCCTGTTTGGTTTGAATTTTGAAAACAGTTTTTTAATTTCAAATTTCTAAAAAATAAGAGAAACTTTTTTGGTTTGAGTTTTTGTTCTCCAATTTTTGGGAAAAGATGGATTTAAAAAACAAAAAATGGAAAACTTAGGACGTGTTTGGTTATATTTTGCAAAACAGTTTTTTGTTATTAAAATTTTAAAAATCTGTTTGCTTCGTATTTTTGTTCTCAAATTTTTTTTAAAAAAAATAAGATTTGGAACAAAGAAATAGAAAATAAGTCACACTTGTTTTCAGATTTTACTTTGAAAACTATGAAAACACGGAGAACTGGGAGAACACCTCTTTAATAAGGTCTGTCATTCGATTCTCCTTAACAGCAGGCTTCCTTACTTTTTTGTTTCCTTCCTCTTTGTCTCTCTACACTTTGCCCATCAAACAGAACAAAAACAAGGCCGTTTCTCCGGCTCTCTCTCCAGAACGAAGATACATACAAGGTCGTCTTCTCTCTCTCCACTTTGTCTCTCAGACAGAACGAGCAGAGGGGAAGCTTCAGATCTCTTCAGCGAAACTTTAGATCTCTTCATATTGTGAGTTTTGATGGTGGTTGTGGGTTTTGAGTGGTTGTTGATTTTCAGTGGCACTTTGTGGGTTGTGGTAATGGTTGTAAATTTTGGGTGGTTCTGAGTTTTGGTAGTGCTTGCTTTGTGAGTTTCGATTCTAATCGGTGTTTTGTGGGTTTTGATACACAATGAAAGAGAGAGAGAGATAGAGTTGAAGTGAGAGTGAAAATTATGGATTATTGTTCTTTAAAATTATTTTTAAAAATATATAACCAAATAAATTTTATAATTTACAAATTTTTAAATATTATTTTTTGATAAGCAAATCAAACGGACCTTTTTTTCAATGTTCGGAGACAAAATAAGGAAAATCCGAAGAACAACCAAATTCTTCGTTACCGAGAGAAATGAGAATTTTTAGTGTAATTAACCTAATAAAATAATTAAATAGCGTAAGAAAAAAGATTTATGGTTGGAATTCCCCACCATACTATCTATATTTTCTCAGTTTAGTCAGACTTCAGAGGCCACAGAGAGAAATGGCGGCCATAGCTCGATTCCAACTCCTCCAGCCATCTTCGGTTGTGAAACCATCAGTGATTTTATCAAAGCTCTCTCACTCTACCCCTATCAAAGCTCTCTCACTCTACGGCACTCGTATTCGTAAACTCTCCGTCCGCCGTTTCTGCTGCGCTTCAGACCAAACCCCCGAGGTCATGTTCTTCTTGTTCTCTACTTTCTCTCTCTAGATTTAGTTGTATATGTTAGGAATTATATCTCAAATCTTTTGAGTTCTAATGCCAGATTTCTTCGAATTCTGGTTCGTGTTCGTCTATAGTTGCTGATCTTCTGGATTATCTCAATGAGTCCTGGACTCAATTTCATGCTACAGGTATTGTACACGCACCAATTCACACACAAACATGCGCATATACACGTATGTGTAACAAATATACGAACGTGAATCTTCGAATGCTCGCATTTGTTTGTATGTTGAGTTGAGCAAAAGAAATCTTAAGTGAAGAGTAATGTGTCAAAGCTTATGATTTATATAGTTATGTGGTGTGGTTAGTCTAAGTTCCTTGTAAAAGTTTGGGTAGTTCATAACTATGCTTTGTTCAAGATACTCTTCAATTTACCTCTTTTTTTCTCATCTATTATGGTCCCATTTTATGGCTTGCATGTAAGCTTAAATTCTTTGCTTATGTTGGTTATTGTTTTAAACCCCAGTGAATGTTAACTAATCTTCATTTTTATTTTTGATTTTTGGGATATTAATGCATTGTTTTGTAGTTCTACACTTCTACTGGACTTTACTTCAGCCCCAATCTACCGGATTGAACCATGGCATTAGTGTTTGTTATGAATCTTCAGCATGTGTATGGGGTGGCAAGAATTGGTTAAGTACAAGTCCAACCCTAGCCTAACTTTAAAGATTCAAAAGGTTGCTCCAACCTAATCCATGAGTGTAAACCCAAGTTGGTTTTAGATTGGCTTGTGCGGTTTGATCTGGCTAGTCATTTAGCTCATACTAATTAAAAATATGCAGGCTTTTGCTTTTTACACTAACAAATCTCGATTTATGATTATCAAATTCACCTAAGCATTATGTCTACAATAAGTGACAAACTTTGAGGAAAATTCTGGGAACTCTTAGGGTCAAAAATCCCCTGTTATTCTAAGTGTCCACATTATTTCAACCCTCGTGTTTTTGTTTCTTATATTTTTTATGTGACTAATTCTGAATTTTCTAAAATCAATCGGATGTAGTGATTTTGCTAGTTCTGTATGATATATTAAGCCTAGAATTTGAGCTTGAAGGGTGTTGTGTCCCTCAATGGTTCGTAACAACCTCTTCAAGCTTATGGTCATATATGCTATATTGAAGACCACAGAGGTTGATGAATTTTTAAAATATGGGGTCTCATTGTCTAATGAACTGTGGTTTGTGCATGCTTCTGGACTTAATTGTAGGATTTCTAGATGGCTTGTAGAAAGATTCTAAATTTCAATTGGTTGTAGATCGTACAGAAAAAGGAATTCAAGTTTATTTGAAATCTAAATCACATGTTGGAGATGGTAAGGATATTGTTAGATGTAAGAAAAGCAAATGATTTTCAAAGGTGCCCACATGTAAATGAGTAGTAATCAATCAGGCATAAATTAGGCACATAAGTGGCATATACTTGCTAATTGAGGTCATGTAAGATTAGTGCAATCAAAATTGATGAAAATGGATGATAATACTATATGCCTACAAACAATGCCAAAACAGGAGCTTAATTATATGTGACTAGAGGAACTGACAAAAAGCATTTGTGAAACTTGAGTGCTGGACCTTTTTATTGTTAAAAATCGATCATGAGAAATCAGTGAAAATTACTCATTAACCAAAATGACGTGTAAAAAATAGTACATATGATTTCTTCATGTTGTGTTGGGAAGATAGCCAGATACAAACGTAATCTTTTGCATTATTTGGTTGTAGTGGCTATCTTTAGGCTTGAACTTGAAATTACATTTGATCGAAAGAGATGATGCACCATGGCACCATAGCGAGATTGATGCTGTTGGTGCCATGAGTGCATGAGAACTTGAGTATGGGGTCAAAGCTGTACATCGTATGAAGAAATGGTGACAATGGAGTATCTGAAATCCATTTTCTGAGATAAACAAAACTGGCATTTAATAGTTTTGATTGGGAAAATAGCAAAACCAATGGGGATTACAGAGATTTTATGAGGGACAAAGTCCAATCTAAGCAAAGCATGACTGCATCTAGAGAATTGAAACATCTTGGTTCTTTTAAGCAAATTGTCAAGTGAATTGTGAAACCTTGAGTTTCAAGGCACAATAAAAACATCAAGCTTTATGGAATGCCATTGTTTTGTGATGTATTCCTTAGAAATGCAGTGTGCTCACATTCTGGGCACATTTCAACATTAAATGAAGGATTATTAAGTATTCAAGCTGGGTTTTAGCACGTGAACACATGTAGTGTTGGGTAAAACACTACATGTGTGAGTGGTGAGGAGAATATACTCTTTTAATTGAGAAAATGATGAGAAACTTTTGGTGAGGGGAAGAAAGACCACCTTGTAAGGTGGGAGATGGTGTCTACTGGTAAGTGTAAGGGGTCTGGAGTGTTGGAAATTTGGTAGAAAGAAATATTGCTAAACGATTGTGGAGGTTTTCAACAGAATTCTATGTGGCATATTGTTATAAAAAACAAATATGAAATTCATCCCCCGGATGAGATTCGAATGTGGTGGTTAGGATTCTCCTGTGTGTCTTTGGAAATCTATTTCATAAGGTCTAGTATGGTTTTAGGGAGCATATTAGGGTGAGTGTGGGGAATGACGAGATACTTCTTTTTTAGAAAGGTACATGGGCAGGTGATTCTTATTTTGAGTCGCTGTTTCCTCGTCTCTTTAAGTTGTATCGGTCTAGTGAGGCTTCCATTACAAGTATGTATATTGTGTCATGTTCTCAAGAGGGGTGGATTTGAACGGGGAAGTGGTGGAGCTCTCCTCTATTTTCTTTAGTCCAATTGTTGTTGTTGACTCTAGGGGTGAGAGATAAAAGATTATGGATCCTCGATTCTTCCACTGTTTTGACCTGTAAATTGTGCTTTGATAACTTGATTAATGACACATCTCCCTTAATTTTTGGGACCTATAAGATGATTTGGAAGACTAGAGTGTCTGGTAAGGTGCATGTTTATGTTTGGACTGTAGCCCATGGGAGAATCAATATTTGTAATGAGTTACAAAGGAGAACACTGACGACTTGTCTTTCTCCCTAGTGATGTGTAATGTGCAGAAATTGCAATGAATTTGTAGTTCATCTATTTCTTCACTGCTTGTGGCCTTGAAATTGTGGTATAAAGCTCTTGGTGAGTTTGGTTTCCCATGCGATTGTGTCTCTTTATTTGAAATGAATCATGATGTGCTTGGGAATGGGGCAAAACATTTATATTGTGGAAACGTGTGGTTATGACAATTCTTTGGGGGACATGGTTGGGAAGGAATAACATAATTTTGAAGACAAAGAAGAATATGTGGAATTCCCTTGGGACATAATTAAGTTTTTGTCTACCTTTTACCATTGACTTCAAAAGAGTTTAAGGTTGCGCCTTTTCTTTCTCCTTAATCTTGATTGGAAGGGGCATGTAATTAGATGAATAGAATAATAGCTCTTGGTTGATGTAAAATGTATCGATGCTTCTTTTTAGTTTTGTTATTCCTTCCTTTTTATTGTATTAGATCCATCATTGGGATTTCTTGTCCACTACATTGTACCTTTTACTTTAGTATGAAAAGTTTTATGCCTTCTATGAAAAAAAAAGAGTCCACTATTCTAGCAACTAATAGATAAAAGAGCACACACTGTTTTGTGAGAAAATTTCCAAATTGTTAAGACTATGGGCCTTTGGTGTAAAAAACATAAAGGTTGAGACATATTTGCTGCACAATAGAAGCTTAAGAAAAAACAATCTTGGTCCCATACTAGCTCGGGAATGAAGTTGATTTAGTTGTAGAAAGAGCAAATTGAATAAAGCAAGACGAATCACAAATTGAATTTAATTATTTGGCAGAAAATTAAAGTTTAGAATTTAACCTAATCAACCCATAATGAAGTTTGGTAGGAGGGATATATGCAACGTCATTTGTCTTAAACAAAGCCTAATCAGGTTTCAGTGGATTCCAAAACCAATTATTGCCCAGGTTTTTGAAACTCAGATTAGAATCTTCCACTAATAGCTGATATGAAAGAAACTCGTGTAACAATAGTTTCTTGCAAAACACTCATCAATGATACAACAAACATATGGAGGTTATGTAGTGCAATGTCAGTTTGATAATATTTAATTTCCTTAAAGAAATTTGTATGTAAGGGATGTTTGCACTGTTTTAATATGATCCATCTTGCTTCCCAATTCAAAATATTAGGATTTACAATTCTGCAATAACAATGTTATTCATGTTGCTCATGCATGTTTTATAAGATTATCTGCAGGTCCCCACAAATATTACAGAAAAACCTGGAAAATATGTTTTTAAATTGATGTTCTGGCCATAGGATATTTTGTTCTCATTACTATCTATCCTCTTTAATAGCTGAAGCAAAACGACAATTAATTGCTGCTGGATTTCATTTGCTAAATGAGAGTGACGAATGGGACCTGAAACCTGGTGGACGCTACTTCTTTACGCGGAACATGTCCTGTTTGGTTGCTTTTGCCATTGGGGAAAAGTGAGTATCCACATTCTATCTGGTCAAACCTTGCATTTTAAGTATTCAAAAAGAAATCATGCAATCCACTTCATTAATAATGAGCTTATAGATTATGAGACTAGATAGAATGAAGATTGGCTGGGGGACTGAACTTCCAGGTGGTCACACTGGCACTGATTATCACGATGCTAGATGTATGGCCATTTGTGTTATGCATTTATATTGTCCTCATATTGTGAAATGATATCAATATTTTCTGTTGTTCTTTTTTTGTTCCGGATTCATTTACTTCCATCTTTGTTTTTTTTCCTGGCTGTTCATGGGAATAAGTGCTGCTCTCGTATCAATTTTCTTCCTAGTATATTATAACCAGCGTTAAACTTTGAAACTAAGATGTTAACTTCATCATCCTCTCTGCTTTTCTGACAATCTTGTTTAGTAAAATCTTACATTAGTTTTGCAGGTATTCAACTGGTAGCGGTTTTCATGTAATTGCTGCGCACACAGATAGTCCGTGTCTGAAACTAAAGCCAAAGTCTGCCTCATCAAAATCTGCCTATCTTATGGTCAACGTGCAAACTTATGGTGGTGGTTTATGGCACACTTGGTTTGATAGGGATTTAAGTGTTGCTGGAAGGGTCATAGTGAGAGGAGATGATGGTTCCTTATTGCATAAGCTTGTCAAAATAAAGAGGCCTCTGTTACGAGTTCCTACACTGGCAATTCATCTTGACCGGTTCGTTTCCCTTTATTGAAGATTCATTGTTTATCAATCATATTTTTATTTATCATTTGGTTGTGAGATTACATCTGCCTAAATTCCCATAGTTCTGTGCGGTTCAAGGATGTGGTTGGATTGATATATCTGACTACTGGAGAAGCTATGCACTCCTAGTGCTGACCATGGTTATCAGAATTCTGATATGGATCCTAAGATCTTCCAATCCAATATAAGTAAATTGATCCGAGTCTCTTATAAAATCTCAAATCCGTAGGATCTTAATGGATTGTGATCCAGATCTTAAAATCGCAATCCAAACTACGATTTTACCGATTCAAGTTCTTGAGTACGTTTGTTAGGCGCATTTAGTTATTGAGCAATCCAATCCATATTTTTCATTTTCATAGTCAAGGACTCAATCCAAAAGTTAATGTCTTATACAATTGTGAGTTTATGAGGGAATTTCAGTAGATGAGAAAAGCTACAAAAAGTTTATTTCGTTCACAAATAAGTCTCTTTATTTGTTCTTTTTTCTTGTTGAAAGCAATGGTTAAATTTGATCTTCTCTCGGCACGAGTGATCATAGCTAGATAGTCTTTCATTTTTATTGTTTTCTACGTTTTTTGTTTGGATGTTGAATATTCAATGTTATTATCCAACAATCTTTCAACTTTCTAGTCTCTACTCTTTGTCTCTTTATTAGAAAGTTAGGATCAAAATACTTTTAAATTCTTCTATTTCTCTTTTTAAAATCCCTTTTTAAACTCTCTTTAATACTCAAATTGTAGTTTTATCAAGTTTAATAATATCTTAAGTTGTATGTTTGTCATAATATTTCTATTTGTATAGATACTAGGCTTGTTTAATTCTTATTTTTGGGAATTTTGTATTGTTGTATGTGTGTTTTGTCTCATTTTCTCAGTTGATAGGATCTTAAGATTCTCGATTCGACCCTGCGATCCAAATCCTGTAACCATCCGGATTTTAAAAACCTTGATGCTGACAGGAGTGGTATTTGAGTTTGTGGGTTGATTGGGATTTACCCCCTCTTGTTAGATCAATGCATTTAAAACTTAGTCATATCTTTTTCTGGTGTATTTGAGGAGCTTTTTCTAGTAGCCTTTGAGGAGAATGCCTATAACACAATCAACCTGACTGCCTGATCCAAATAAGCTGGTTAGACTTAGAGACAACATAGTGAACTACTATGGGGGATAGCAAAAACCATGTGAATGGGGGGTTTAGCATTTTTTTTCGGAACCGTGAATTCTCCCAAGTGACACTTGTCAATATATTCCTTATTACTGCCCTATATGGGAGCATTCGGAGATGGTCTGGCTCCTTAGGTTTAGTGTTCACTGCTTGGACTAACTGCTACCCTTATTCATGATGTTAAATTATTTTGCTATTCCTTACTTGCTTTTGATGTGATACAAACATGACCATGAAACACACACACTCTCTCTCTCTCACAGTCTGGGATATCTAAGACTATAGATATCCGGAACACTTCTTATATAGCACATCCAGTGCCATGGGAACCACAAACCTAAAACTGCAAAAGGAATCTAATTTTTATTGGTAGTTCAAACAATAGAACTTTATTGCAGAGTGAATTGCTAGAATGCAAGTTTTCCTTTGAGAAGCTCTTACGATGCCAGATATTTCTGAAGTCTATTCATTTGCTGGGTAAAATGGTGCAAGTGTTAAAAATTTTTGGTGATCTTTTTAGTTTATAAAACTTTGGTGGATTATAGAATTTAATCTTACTTCTTTTCACTATAGTAGAATATAGTTCCTGGAACTTTTTTAATTTCTTGTTCTTCTTTTCTTTCTTTTAATTGCTCCGGTTATTTTGACGGATATTTAATGTAAAAACTCTTGGCACGTTAAATTGTTCCCTTGTACAAACCCTCAGAATATTATCATGCCTTGAAGGCTTTTGTCTTAGTCAAATTCAAGTTCTGTAGTTGTGATCAAGTTATGCAATTATTGCATTCCTTTTTGTCTCTTGAAGAGAACAAAATAATCTTCCTCATTTAAGAATCTTTGGTCTGAAATTTAATGCACTTAAAATTAATAAACTCCTTTTGTTTAGCTTTTGCTCTAATGAGCATGTCTATACTTTGCTGTCATCATTTATGCCTAATCTACTGGGATTTGTACTTTCTTATTCCAATTCAATGTACTTGCTTCTTTTGAAACTTTTTACATCCATTTGAAGTCACATGCTGGTTTCATAGTTACAAAGTAAAATTCAGACTTCTTCCATATAATGCCACTAGTCATAACCCGTGCCTGAAGGCACGATAAAACATAAAATTCGAGTGCTCAAAAAAATCTATTTCACTATATTAAATAATAAATTTTCTTTGTTTATCCATTATTTTCTTAAAAATATCGACAATTTTTTTTCAAAGTACATAATTTGACAAAAATTCTTAACATATGTATACTATATTGTATGGATAATATGTGAAATAAAAATTATAGTAAACCATGAATTATTCAATATCGAAATAATTGGGTATGTGATATAAATTGGTGATGTGATGTTTTTTTGGGGGAAAATATGTAGGGGATAAAATTCAACTTGTGAGCTATCCTATTATATAGATGTTTTTCCAGGTGTTGAAGCCTAAAGATAATTTGAGGAACGCTATTTTGTAACTTCTATAAAAAAGTATAGGATTTAATGGTTTTTGGAATGTAAAAGTAGACTTACCGAAAATTTTCCTGAAAATCAAACATCATATTGCTGTAGTTGCTTCAAGTTCTCTAAATTGCAATTTTGTTGTCATCTAGCAATGGGTAAGCTTGTCTCACATTTCACCTAGTTTATTGATCCTTGTTTCTTTCTTTTTATTTTCTACCGTATTTCGTGTATATTTGATAGCTCCACTTACCACAGCATGTAACATATATGTATGAATGTATCATACACATATTCACACACACACACACACACACACACACACACACACAGAGCGCTATAGAAATGATCTAAGACATTGTTTTTGATTGGAATTCAAAAACAGCTCTACTTGTTTATGATTGGAATTCAAAAACAACTCTACTTTATTATATAGATACGGGGAGAAAGGGAGAGAAAAACGTTCAAAACACACACACAACTATTGCATGCCATTGCATGTCATAAGTTGGTTTTTCTTCGCTCTTTCCTCCCAACAAAATGTTTCACATTTATCTTCATGCATCTCCATTATTTTACCCAACTTGGGCAATCAAGTCTTTACATGAAAACTGATTGTCACTTACAGATTTCATGTTTGTAGGGTTAAAAAAAGCTTCAGGTTATTTCGTAGTTTCTGCCCCCTTATAATTTGAATTATAAATCCATGTTCTTCTGCTTGGGTCGATTACTTAATTTTGTCTCACAGTGGCTATGAGTCCATGACTCCCTGTTTTACTCATATTATCTGCTGTTATTTTTTCTTTTATTTGGGTGCTTAGCACTGTGAATACGGATGGGTTCAAACCAAATCTGGAAACTCACCTTATCCCACTGCTGGCAATGAAGCTTGAGGACGGATCAGCTGAGCATAATCCATCACCCCCAAAAGATGCTCATCATCCACTGCTTATGCAGGTATCACTGTATTTTTTGTTTTGATTTGATTGGAATAAATGCTGAGTTATATTTTAAGGAGGCTGTGTGGATGGACTACTAATGGCATAATGGTCCTTGTGTCGGAGAGTGGGTTGTGAGAATCCTTCTTAAGAACCCTTGTATGCAGTT